CCGTCCCCCTCCTCCTCCTCCTCCTCCTCCTCCTCCTCCTCCTCCTCCTCCTCCTCCTCCTCCTCCAGTCGTTTGTCCCAAGCAGCCGCACGTGCAACGCCACGCTGTCCAACATTGGATGAGTGGGGTGTGTAGCCTTTGGCTCAAGCCTGGGTTGGCTTCTTGGTGGGGGGGGAAGGTCACGGGCGGCGAACATATCCATATCCGCGCCGTCGCGGTCTGGATTTCGGCGCGCTCCCGCAGATACGCGGTCGCATGGATACGTTCTGCGCGGTGTGTCTGCGAAAATACGGGCCGCATCCGCGGGGTCGCGGCCCAGGGGCCCGGCCCGCGAGGCCGCGGAAACGGAGATGTTGTCCGCCCGCGAGCGGGGGACCAGGGGCGCTGCTCTGGACAGCGTGCGCGCAGGGCCAGAGTTGGTCGCCCTTCTCTGGCAGTGGCCATGGGCGAGAAGCGCCTGAACGCCCGCGCGGCGCGCAACGACCAGTCGCTGGCCACCTCCAGGGGAACGAAGACTGACGTAAACAGAACGACTCGAGGGCCGCGCGGATTTCTCGCATCGGCGCTGGACCCCCCTCCCTGGCGCGCGGAGCGCGCCAGGGGCGGCGCCGGAGGCGCCGCCAGGGGGCCCCAGCGCCGATCCGAGAAATCCGCGCGGACCTCCGAGTTTTTTGTTTATTCAGGAGGGGAAAAACCACACAGACACAATTCATCGCCGATCCCCAGGAAAAAATAAGAAAATATGGGAAGTGGGGGGGAAGACAGAAACCCAGAAAATGTAGGAAAATACGGGGAGTCCTGATAGTTGTGTGTCTTCTGTTTGTGTGTCCAAGGGCCCCTTCGCTCATGTCATTGTTCGTTCCCCTGACCTCGGCGCCAGAGGCGGACGGGCGCGCTGCGCCCGAGGGCGGCGCGGCCGGCGAGGGCCCGCGCCCGGGCGCAGCCCCGCCGGAGGAGCTGGCCGAGGAGCTGGCGGCGATGGCGCTGCCCGGCTGGGAGCCCCGTGCGAGGGCGCCCGCCCCTGGCCCGAAGGTTCCGGGCCTCCCAGATGGGGTCGGAGTGCAAGCCGGTCGTCGAAGGGAGGTATTTTGGATGCCCAGTTCCTAGTCTACTTTGGGCGCCTTCCTGCTTCAAGAGTCGAGCGGTGGTTCCTCCTTTCCTCCTCTTCAGGGGGCGGGTGGAAGCCCAATCTACTTCCAACGCCTTCCTACTTCATGTTTCAACCCACTTCTTCCGACCGGCGAGTATCTGCACGAACGAAATGGGTACGGAAAGAATGGGTACAATGCCCAACTGCAGTTTCTGTTCATTTTGAACAGGACTCGCGGTCCGCGCCGCCGCGGCCTGTGTCCACTTGAGACAGAAGGCCGCCTGCCCAACAGCGGCCGCCGTTGGTTTGGGACAACATGTGCTGTTGGGCGTTGTACCCATTTTTTCCGTACCCATTTCGGGCGTCCAATGAGTAGATCGCGCCGCATCGCCGATGTGTCGACGATGTGTCGACGATGCGGCTGGAGGTCGAGCAGTGCAGTGGCGAAGCGTCCCGGCATGCCTATTAGGTCCACCACAGAATTTTCAAAGAACCTCTTGTGGCCTGCACGGAATGTTCTTAGAACATTTCTGGCTGAGAACGTCTGGGTGTAACACATTGCGCTTATATTCTAAGAACACTGTTTTTTGTTATCGTAACATAAAGGAATACCGAGACGGTCGGTCCCTGCTCAAGTTGCGGCTCGAGGGGGAGCCATCATTTCGTTACGTCGATGCATCGCCGATGCATTGGCGATGCGGCGCGCCTCGGCCCCACTTGCTCGGACCCCATGCAGAAGGCCTCTAAAGGTCCTGGAGGTTACGGAGGACAACATCCTGACGTACGCGCAAGGCGAGTACTCGCTCATCAGCGTGGATCTGCGCTGTGCCTTCTCCGAGCCGCTGGCGGCGCGGGTGGAGGCCTGCTTCCGCGACGAGGTGATGTCTTGCTTCGCGGTCCGCCGGGAGCTCATCAACTACAAGAAGGTCTGCCTGCACCTCTGGCAGACGGGCTCGGCGGTCGAGAAGGACCTCAGACAGCTGAGCAGCTTCTTCTACAGCGACGTTCTGGAGGGCGGGCTGAGCACCGGGCGCCACGGCGAGGAGTGCGCCACCGAGCCGCGGCGGCAGCGGTATTGCGAGATCGCGAACGCGATGCAGGAGTGCAAGGGCGCCATGGCTGCGATCTGGGATGCCCGCTACTTCGGCAAGGTGATCTGCAACCTGCCCCGCCACCCCGGCAGCGGCGTGCCGTGGAAGTTCGAGGAGCTGCCCCGCAGCCTGGAGGTGTGGAAGAGCCTGGAGCAGGCCCGCCAGTTCCTCCGAAACCAGACGGCGCTCGACGCCTACCTGGCGAGCCGCTACAACCGCAGCTGGAGGAGGGAGGAGGGCGCGGAGGGAGGCGCAGGATCACCACCCTCCAAACGATCCCAGTCCAACCCGAAGGCCCCACCGTGCCCTCCACCCTCAGCGTGGGGGGGGGGGGGTCGGGAAACATATGAAGAAAGACAGCTGTGGAGCCCGTGCACCCCCCCCCCCCCCAAAACCCGAAGTTTGGGTCTTCGGGTTGGGCTGGGGTGGCCTGGTGGGTGGTCGTGAGGAGAGGCCGGCGCGGCGGAGGCCCCCGGGAAGCCGGCCAAGCAGTCGATGGCCTGGAGGTCGGACAGGCACCTGGTGCAGTCCCCGCTGGCCACCGAGGGCCTGCGGCAGCTGATGGCGGCGGTGGAGGGCGCCTGCCTGGGTCTCCCGGGGCCCGCGGTGCGCTACGTGGAGCTGGTGCTCAGCTCAGGGAGGCGCAAGATGCTCGAGCAGCGGCGAGAAGCGTCCTGGCTTGTCTGAGTATATAGGTCCGCCAAGGAATGGTCTGAGCACCCTCTTGTGGTTCGCACGGAGTGTTCTTGAAGCATTTCCGGTTGAGGCTGTCTTGTTTTCATGCGCCAGCTTCGTGTGATAAGAACCGTGCTTCTGTTCTTGGAACATTCTTTGGCTCGAAGACAATTTCGTGGTAGGCGGATGGGAATGCCGGGACGGTCGGTCCCTGCTCAAGACTGGAGTTAGCCAGACCTCGGGTTTGCCGGCTTTTTTGGACGGGCCCGTCCTGAAGCTTGACGGCCCATGGGTCTCCGTGGGATGCTTGCAGGGGGAGGGCGCGTCGGATTTCACAGTTGGTCTCGTCATGTGCCTGACGGCCCCGTCAGGCCAACCCTTGTACCCCGAATCCGAGTCTGGGGGAACGAAACATGGCATAAACAGAAAACTCGGGGGCCCGCGCGGATTCCTTGGATCCGCGCTGGACCCCCTCCCTGGCGCGCGGGGGCGGCGCCGGAGGCGCCGCCAGGGGGCCCCAGCGCCGATCCGAGAAGTTCGCGCGGACCCTCGAGTTGTTCTGTTCATGTCACTGGTTCGCTCCCGCAGCGTCTTGCGCATCCCCGACCATCGCCCGCGGCGCTGCCAAGGCCATGGCGATCCGGAGCGCCCTGCGGAGATACTGCGGTGCGCTTGGGGAGGTGGTGGCGGGTGCCGAGGAGGCGCTGGCCGAGGCGGCGGCCCTGCGCGCGGGCTCGGACCCCGAGAGCAGTGCGCTGTCGCCCGGCCTGCGGCTCTTTGCGCAGAAGTACGCGCGCCTGCTGAGCGGAGTGCTGCCCGTGGTGCGCGAGATGCTGCGCTGGCTGGGGCCCAGCCCGAAGACCAGAAGCGGCAGGTACGCTGATGTCGGGCCTGTCCCTCTACAGGAGGAATATCCAAAAACAGTCAGCAAATAGTGCGGGAACGATTTCTCGACCATGTTATGTTTTTTGTTTTTTTTGTTTTTTTGTGTTTTTTGTTTTTGCATTCTTTGGGTGAATTTCCATTTGTCGTCCAAATCCGCCTGGAGGGGGACATGCCCGACCTAAGAGTATGCCAGCGTTGGCCGCGAACAGTGGGCTGTGGTAGTCTCGATGTGTCGATATACGCTGTTCGGTGCAGCCAGTGGGCTGCAATCAGTGTGGTATAATCTGGGTGTTGCAGTCCACCGTGTGGAGCTAGAAGTCGTGAACTCCACTGCTCGCGCAATCATTCCACCCTCCCACCCGTGTTTGGCACAACCCATGCGGCCGCGATTGCGGTGACTACTTGGCACGGACTGGCGCAACCCTGCGGCTGCGCTACCGCCCGCAAGCTCGCGCGCAGAGCGGCCAGCTGGTTTGGCACAGCCGACGCGGCCTCGATGGCGCTACCGGCCGGGATTTCCCAGCACGTCTCAAAGGCCGCGCTGATGCGCGGGCATTTCAGTGCGGGTCGATGGCTCGGGCGGGCGCGATATCGTGATGACGTTGACAACGACCGTGACGATGATGATATTAACGATGGTAGTGGCGATGATGACGACGACGACGGTAAGGCCAATCATCGTGCCGATGGTGGTGACGATGGTGACGATGATGATGTCCACGCGTCGGTGATGAAGGTGATTGACTGATGACGGTGGCAATGGCGGCGACTGTCGGTGACGATAGGGTGATGCGGCGGGGAAGTGCGCACGCGGAAGTGCAAGACGCGTGGCAGATTTTTCTTGGACCACATTTGTTTTACATTTGTTTGATCATGATGTGCTGTCATAACCGATGAAATTAGACAATGTTTAAACGTGCGCGTGTGCCGCATGGTACTATTTTATGCTGACTCGTGCGCCGGGCGCGTCCTGGAATAACCCGGATGCGCCGAGTAGTGACAGGAGATAGGGTTTTCACGACATGGCTAAAATCATGCGGCCTCCCCATGATTTCATCAGATGCGTGCGGGCAGGTCATTTGCAATACTGTGCTGAAACAATTGTATGGTTGGATGTTCTTTTTCTTAAGGTGCTTCCAGAACTGATGTGTTTGGTGTTTCTCCGTTTCGGTTTGGTTTTGCGCTTGTTCCTTGCAGACGGATCTTCGGACAATGACATTATGCGATTGGCGAGTGCGCGCGCATTGTATTATTGGACAAGGTGCGGCGGAGGTCGATACCAGTTGTCCTGGGATGGTATAACCTCATGGGGGAATGAGCGACGAAACCAACTTACATTTTATTTGCAGTGCCCCAGGGGTTAGCGATCACTCAGGGCTCGGGAGGCGAGTGGGAATCATATTTCTGCTTGAGCGACGAATATACGCATGGGATGGTATCTATGTGGTGCGAACATTCTGTGGGTGGAACATGCGGCATAGTCTATGGAACCCACGCTGCGTATGAATGTAGTGCAATCTGAGGTCTGAGGTGCAAGCTATGTGGTGCAGACTATGTGTTGCAAGTTATCTGTTGGATTTTGGCGTATCCCGCCATTGTGATTGGGTCGTGGACACGGGGCCTCTTAGATACCTCTTGGGATTTCTTGGGGTCTCTTGGGAGGCCTTTCGAAGGCCTCCAAGATAAATTTTAGGCAGTTATAACCGCCTTTTTGTGAACTTCGTGGGCAGTGCAGAGGACTTGAATGGACCTAGGGACTTCGTGCTGCACAGTGGCGGATTGGGCGCCTTCTATGTGGTGCAATCCGAATTGCAGAACTTGAAAAATTGTCAACTCCACTGCTCGCGCACTCGTCACACCCTTCCACCCGCAACTTGTTTTGCACAACCCATGCGGCCGCGATTGCGGTGACTACTTGGCACGGACTGGCGCAACCCTGCGGCTGCGGCGCGCAAGCTCGCGCGCAGAGCGGCCAGCTGGTTTGGCACAGCCGACGCGGCCGCGATGGCTCTTATCGACGGAAATTTCCCAGCGCGTCTGCAACGACGTGCTCGGTAACTCGGGCGGGCGCGGTATCAGGATGCTTTCGACAACGGCGGCGGCGATGATAGCGATGATGACTGTAGCGGTGGTGGTGGCGATGATGGCGATGACGACGACAAGGCCAATCACGGTGCCGATGCTGGTGACGACGATGGTGATGGTGATGGTGATGTGTCGGCGATACAGCGACGACAGTACTAAGTCGGGCCTGTCCTTCTACCGGGGGAGTGTTCAAGAATTTTCGAAAAGTAGTCTGGGGACTTTTTTTTGGTTCGAGAATATTTGGCCGATTGTTTTTTATAGTTCGTCCAATATCCGCCTGTAGGGGACATGCCCGACCTAACAGTACCGCTCCTCCTATCACGCATGCCGTCTCTTGGTCTTCCGCCCATCGCCGAGCTGAGGCACGGCTCGGAGCGGCGGTTCGTCTCCGGAAGCCGAGGCGCGGCGGCCTTTGTGCCGCGGGGCTTCCCTGACATGATGCAGCCCTTCCTCGGGGAAGAAACAACGGCATCACCATACACATTCGGACCCGGGGAGTCAGCGACCCGGGTCAAAACAAACCAGGGTCAGTCAGGTTCTGCAAGGTCCTGCAAGATCCTGCAGGATCTTGCACCCAAGCCCGGGCCAATGCGACCTTGGCCCTGCAGGATCTTGTTAGATCGGGCTCTCTGACTGACCCCCGTTTGCACTGACCCCCGCCTCTTGAGCCCCGGCGAAGCTCCGCGCGGCTCTCTCGGATCGGCAGCGCCGATCCAAGAAGTCTTCGCAGAGCTCCGAGTGTTTGAGTGTCCGATGGGGTCGACGGATCGCTCCGCATCGCCGATGCATCGGCGATGCGGCTCGATGTGGTGTTCGATCTGCTTCACATCGACGTCGCCGATGCATCGCCGACGTCGACGATGCATCGCCTGTGCATCGCCAGTACATCGCCGATGCATCGCCGATGTATCGGCGATGAGGACCGATCCTCCGACTCCATGTGCTCGGGCCCCATCTAGGAGGCCTCTACTGAGTTGATGCAGTCTTTTGTTCCTCCGTTTCCGCGACGCGGTCGCGCTGCACCGCGGCGCCATGCTCGCCGAGGTCGCGAGCGTGGGCTGGCCGCGCTCGGCGCAGCCGCGCCCGGGTGAGGAGGTGAACCTGAAGGCCTGCCGCCGCTGCGGCGAGGGGTACACCAGGCTCCATCGAGCACAACAGAGCCCCTAACCCTCATAACGCGATGAAGACGTGGCCTCACTGAGGTCCCTGTCTTCGCATTGGGGATGATAATTCGAGGCAGTTTGGTCTGATGCAGTTGCAGAGAAGATTCCCTATCCCTAATGTTTTGGGCTCTCCTAACTTAGGTCCCCTCCCAGAGGGTTAGGGGTACCTCCTCACTTAACTGACAGGAGGGATATTCAAGAGCAGTCAAACAGTAGTCAGGGGACGATTTTTGATTATTTGTGACATTTTATCCCGACCTAAGGCTCTGGCTGCACCGCGAGCTCTGCTTCCCGAAGGAGAGACACCGGCACAAGCATACATTTTCGGAGCTCCACCCGGATCTCTTGGATTGAGGGGGCTCGGCGCCGATCCCGGACATCCTCGGGGGCTCGAGGCGGGGGTCCGTGCAAGCGGGGGTCAGCCAGGGCTTGCGTGCGGGATCCTGCGCGATCCTGCAGGATCTTGCAGCACCCTGCGCAGCCCGACGGACCCGGGTCAGCGCATCCCGGGTTGGGATGGAGCCGGGTTTGGATGGACGGTTGGAGGGACCCGGGGCGCAGCCCGATGGACCTCGGCTTGGATCGAACTGGGTCAGCAGATCCCCGGCATCCGCGCGGAGCTACGAGAGTTTGTGTTTTGTGCCAGCGTTTGCTCCTCCGGCTTCGCCTGCGAGGACTCGGGGGGGGGGGGCGCCCGGCCGACCACCTCGCCGACCCTCGCCGGGCCCATCCCTGGCCCAGGATCGGTGCACACGTGCGCTGTGCCTCACTGGAAACGTCGGGAGGGCGTGTGCAGTTGATCAGATCGGGTTGACCCAAAAGCGGGTCCCGGCGACAAGGGGGTGGTGCAACAGATTCGGTGCAATAGATCTGTGGGGTTGCAATGCATTCGGGGCGTACAATACATTTCGGAGCGCAGATGTGTTGCTTTATTTTCGCGTGCCATACATTACTTGCAATACACTGCAATACAATTCTCTGGCGCAATGCATTTGCAATATATTTGCCCCAAATCTATTGCACCACCCCCTTTTAGCTGGACCCCCTTTTGGGTCACCCAAATCAGAGGAGGAAAAGGCACCCATGCCGCTACCCTTCCCTTCCCTCGTTTTCCCCTTTTTGAGCCTCCTGGGATGCCTCGGCGCCACCGCTGGATTCGCTTCGTTCTTCTAGTCAGAACGCACCCCGGGAGAGGTCCGGGGAGTAGCGGTATCGGTACTTTTTGGTTTTCCCAGTTGATCCTGATGGTTTGCGTGTTTCAGGAGCGGAGGAAGGGCGTACACTTGCATGAATCCACGTTGGTGTCGAAAATACGCATTGCGCGAATGTTTGTATAACGAGGCTGGTCTCGTGGACTGGGGGGCTGTATTCATGTACGCGGTTGGGCCTGCACGTTTTTTTGTGGGCCTCCAACTGTTCTCGGCGGCGAGCGAGGGGGGAAGTGAGAACGAGAAGGCCCTCTCAGAAGGCGGCGGGATTTCTCAGAAGCACTCGGGCCTTGATAGAGGTTTTTCGTGCCTTCGGGGAAGGCTCTATAAAACTTCTCAGAAGGCTGGGGGACTTCCGAGCCTTCTGAGAAGGCGCGCCCCTTCTCACCTCTCCCCGGGCGCGCTGCCGAATGTTCTGCATGTTCTGACCGGCCTCTTTCTTTTCCTCTCCTGCGTTCTGCATGCTCTGCTTGGTCTCGTCTCCTCTCCTGCTCTCCTGCTCTCTTTCCCTCTCCTGGTTTCTTTCCCTCTCCTGCTTCTTATGCTTTCTCCCCTCCTGCGTTCTGCCTGATCTGCATGTTCTGCATGTTCTGACCGGCCTCTGACCCGCGCCTTCGCGTTCCCCAACTCGCTGCGCTGCGCCCCGCCGTGTGCTCGACCGACGCCCGCGCGCCTGCGTCCGCGGGCCAGACCAGGGTGCGCTCGATCCTGGGCCCCGGCAGTGATGTGCCAACCTGCTCTTAGGTCGGGCGTGTCCCCCTACAGGGGGATTTTCGACGAGAAAGCAAAAATACCCCAAAAACACACCCAAAAGGCAAACAAATAATCAACAAATAGTCCCCAGACTATTTTTGGGCTACTTTTGAACTATTTTTGGATTATTTTTTGAGTATTTTTTAGTTTTCGTTGAAAATCCCCCTGTAGGGGGACAGCCCGACTGAAACCTACTCTACCCTGAATCACCAGAAAGAATTTCGAATACCAAGAACGCACCGAAACTGGAGGATGTCCACGTGGCGGCACCGTCTCGATCCTTCTCGTTCGACGCTGCCTCGATGCTTCTCGCTCGACTCTGGGAGGCGACACTCGTTCGACACTGCTTCGATGCTGTTGTGGGTGCTCGACGTTATTCCCGGGCTGTGCGCCGTGAGTAAGATTCGGCGACGAGCGAGGGGGGGAAATGAGAAGGAGAAGGCCTCCTCAGAAGGCGGCGGGACTTCTCAGAAGCCCTCGCGCCCTCTGAGAGGTTTTTTTCTGCCTTCGGGGAAGACCCAGGAAACTCCTCAGAAGTCTGGGGGACTTCCGAGCCTTCTGAGAATCAGAGCGTGAATTACCTACCCCGCTTTCGCTTCCAGGCAAAACCAAGCCATGCCACGCGCCTCCTCGTCAAGCGGCCTGACCAGTACGGGCTGCAATTTGGCATCGTTTGGCATCTCTTGGAAGCGAGGGTGGTCAAAAGCGAGGTAGGTTTGTTTCCCCCCTGGAGAAGGCCCGCCCCTTCTCACCCCCCCTCTCTTTTTGGCCTCGCGGTCGATCTGCAATGTGCTAGTCGCTCTTGCACTGGCTCCCCCACCTCTTGGGATGGTGGACCTCCCCTCTCTTTCGCTCGCCGCCGAAAGATGGCAGCAGCGCGCACGGCCCGGGGTGCGGGCCTGGCCGGGGCGGGCGGGCGGTCGGCCGGCGCGGCCCGGAGGACGCCGTGCGGGCGGAGGGGCGCTGCCCCTTCTCGGGCCGGCCGAGAGGGGGGGATTTTGGGAAAGGGGGGGTTGTGAAATCTGCTGCAGGCAGCTGGTTTCGGCCCCACCGACTTGGCATTGCTCGGACGTGTGCATTTTTCTTTCGGCGAGGACCATCGAGGAGCATCCTTGATCAGTTGGCGAAATAGCCACGCACGAAACCGAAGAAAACACAGGGAATGGACGTCCGAGCGATGGCGAGCCGAGGGGCCCATTCCTCGATGTATTGTCGCCTCCGGCGCCGGGAGGCGCCGGGAAAATCAGCTGCGTGAGCTGATCCTCAAAGCCCCCTTTGCTATCCCCCCCTTTCGCCCGACACGACCATCGGCGGCAAGTGCAGCCCCGCGAGCTTCTGCCCGCACCACAGGCGCTGCGTGGTCTTCAGGGGCAACATTTAAGGCGGTCCTGTCCCTCCACAGGAGGAATTTTCCAAACAATAGTTAACAAACATACTGTGGGGACGTTTTTTTTTTTTTGTTGTTGTTGTTCCCAACCATCCTGTGGTGTTGGGTCCTCGTTTTGAAGAGACGGTGCCCCGCGTTCCCGCCTCCTCCTTCCTCCTCTCCCCCCTCCTCCCTCCTCCTCCCTCTCCTCCCTCCTTCCTGCGTTTCACCTACCCATTACAGCGCTTCGTGGCTCCATAGGGAGCTCCACCGAAGGCCCCAGCGGCAGGGTCCGCATGCAGTTCCACCTCCATTTCGGCGCACCCCTCACACGTTTCGTGGTCCCATACGGTGCTCCACCGAAGGCCCCAGTGGCAGGGTCCGCATGCAGTTCCACCTCAATTTCGGCGCACCCCTCACACGTTTCGTGGCCCCATAGGGTGCTCCGCCGAAGGCCCCAGTGGCAGTGTCCGCATGCAGTTCCACCTCCATTTCAGCGCACCCCTCACACGTTTCGTGGTCCCATAGGGTGCTCCACCGAAGGCCCCAGTGGCAGGGTCCGCATGCAGTTCCACTTCCATGTCGGCGCACCCCTCATACGTTTCGTGGCCCCATAGGGAGCTCCACCGAAGGCCCCAGTGGCAGGGTCCGCATGCAGTTCCACCTCCATTTCGGCGCACCCCTCACACGTTTCGTGGCCCCCTCCACCGAAGGCCCCAGTGGCAGGGTCCGCATGCAGTTCCACTTCCATTTCGGCGCACCCCTCACACGTTTCGTGGCCCCATAGGGTGCTCCACCGAAGGCCCCAGTGGCAGGGTCCGCATGCAGTTCCACTTCCATTTCGGCGCACCCCTCACACGTTTCGTGGCCCCATAGGGTGCTCCGCCGAAGGCCCCAGTGGCAGGGTCCGCATGCAGTTCCACCTCCATTTCGGCGCACCCCTCACACGTTCCGTGGTCCATAGGGTGCTCCACCGAAGGCCCCAGTGGCAGGGTCCGCATGCAGTTCCACCTCCATTTCGGCGCACCCCTCACACGTTTCGTGGCCCCATAGGGTGCTCCGCCGAAGGCCCCAGTGGCAGGGTCCGCATGCAGTTCCACCTCCATTTCGGCGCACCCCATCACACGTTTCGTGGCCCCATAGGGAGCTCCACCGAAGGCCCCAGCGGCAGGGTCCGCATGCAGTTCCACCTCCATTTCGGCGCACCCCTCACACGTTTCGTGGTCCCATAGGGTGCTCCACCGAAGGCCCCAGGGGCAGGGTCCGCATGCAGTTCCACTTCCATTTCGGCGCACCCCTCACACGTTTCGTGGCCCCATAGGGTGTTCCGCCGCGCACCTCTCACACGTTTCGTGGCCCCATAGGGTGCTCCGCGGAAGGCCCCAGTGGCATGGTCCGCAGGCAGTTCCATCCCCATTTCTTCGCACCCCTCACCACACGTTTCGTGGCCCTATAGGGTGCTCCGCCGAAGGCCCCAGTGGCAGGGTCCGCATGCAGTTCCACCTCCATCTCCGCGCACCTCTCGCACGTTCCGCGGCCCCATAGGGTGCTCCACCCAAGGCCCCCGTAGCAGGTCCGCATGCAGTCCCCCCTCCATGTCGGCGCACCCCTCACACGTTTCGTGGCCCCATGGAGTGTTCCACTCAGGGCCCCAGTGGCAGGTTCCGCATGCAGTTCCCCCTCCATGTCGGCACACCGTTTCCACGTTTCGCGGCCACCAAAGGCCCTGGTGGCAGCGCCCGCACGTAGTTCCACCCTGCATTTCCGCGCACCCCTCACACGTTTCGTGGCCTCAAATGGGGCTGCAACGACGGTTCCGAGGGCAGCGTCCGCATGGCGTACCCGTGCCAATTTTGGCACCCCCGTCACACGCGTCGTGGCCCCAGAGGGAGGTTCACCGAGGACGATACCCACACCTGCGTTACACACAGCTGCACATGGTTGGGTCCTTCGCCGGAATAATTTTGTTTTGGCAGTTTTTGAACATCTGTTGACTATTTCTATGTTTGCGTCCAGAATCCCCCTGTAGGGGGACATGCCTAACCTAAGGCAACATTAAGGGGGGCTAACGCATACGGCAGGTTCGCGTCTTGTCGACCGGCGGCGACCCCAGCGCGTGCGTTTTAAGGTGGAACGCCGCCCGTGGCCTAGAATCGGCCCGTCGTTGAACGATCCGGCGTGAGTGGAACGGCCGATCGTGCAAGGTTGAACCATCCCCGCGGTGTCAGGAACCAACGCCGGGGTCGACACGGCGCGAACCCGCCGTAGGCTTAGGTCGGGCCTGTCCCCTTACAGGGGGATTTTGGATGAGAAGTTGAAAATAGCCAAAAAATAATCAAACATTGCCAAGAATTGCAAAAAAACAATCGTCCCCAGAGTATTTTTTCCCAACCATCCTGTGGTGTTGGGTCCTCGTTTTGATGAGACGCCCCGCGTTCCTCCTCCTCCTCTCCTCTCCTCCTCCCCCTCCTGCCTCCTCCTCCCTGCGTTTCACCCACCCAGTACAGCGTTTCGTGGCCCCATAGGGAGCTCCACCGAAGGCGCCAGTGGCAGCGTTCGCATGGCGGCCTCGGGCCATTTCGGCCTCACGAGGATCGTGGCCCCATAGGGAGCTCCACCGAAGGCCCCAGTGGCAGCGTTCGCATGGCGGCCCCGCCCCATTTCGGCATACCCCTCATGAGGATCGTGGCCCCATAGGGAGCTCCACCGAAGGCGGCAGTGGCAGCGTTCGCATGGCGGCCCCGCCCCATTGTGGCACACCCCTCACGAGGATCGTGGCCCCATAGGGAGCTCCACCGAAGGCGCCAGTGGCAGCGTTCGCATGGCGGCCTCGGGCCATTTCGGCACACCCCTCACGAGGATCGTGGCCCCATAAGGGAGCTCCACCGAAGGCTCCAGTGGCAGCGTTCGCATGGCGGCCCCGCCCCATTTTGGCACACCCCTCACGAGGATCGTGGCCCCATAGGGAGCTCCATCGAAGGCCCCAGTGGCAGCGTTCGCATGGCGGCCTCGGGCCATTTCGGCACACCCCTCACGAGGATCGTGGCCCCACAAGGGAGCTCCACCGAAGGCGCCAGTGGCAGCGTTCGCATGGCGGCCTCGGGCCATTTCGGCACACCCCTCACGAGGATCGTGGCCCCATAGAGAATTCCTCTTGCTTCGTCCCACCTGCCCTGCGGTGTTCACGTTTGCATATGGTTGGGTCCTTCGCCAGGATAATTAAAACTATTTTCGAATATCCATCGTGTAGAAGGACAGGCCCTTTTTAACTGTAGGCATGTAATGCATTGACCTCCAATCGCCCACTGATCGCCGACAGGGGCCCGACAACGAGCCCCAGCCTGCCCAAGAGCGTTCTGATCCACTGTCGGGGGCATGTCTAGGGCGACGAACAATCACATAAACATGAAAACTCGGAGGTCCGCGTGAATTTCCCGGATCGGCGCTGGACCCCCTGGGCGGCGCCTCTGGCGCCGGCCCTGGCGCGTTTCGCGCGCCAGGGAGGGGGGTCCATCCGAATCTTTATGATGTTTATGTCATGGCTCGTTCCCCCAACGTCGCCGATCCATCGGCGATGTATCGCCGTTGCCAGGTTGATGCTCCCTTCCCCCCTATGGCTATCCCCCCCTATCGTCAGGCGATCGCAAACAGGATTAAGGGGGCGTGGATTAGCGACGGGTCCCGTTTCCATGGGAAATCGCGGATTTCCGCCGCCGAGCGAGGCGGCACTGGCTGCGTTTTGGGGAGGGCGCCTCCCCCGATCCGTGGATTTGGCGACCGCGCGCCAGATCCATGGATCGCTAATCCGTGTTTGTGCGCCCCCCTGTCGCTGTCCCGCAGGTCTGCGACCAGTGGCAGTGCGAGGAGTGCGGCCTACTCCGCGGGGACGGCGAGGACGTCTGGGAGCTGGTCGGGCGCCTGCGACCCGCGGCGGTGTTCCTGGACTTCGACCGCACCCTGGCGACCACGCGGGCCGGCGGCTCGCCGCTGGAGGGCAACCACTCCGTGGATCCCTCGGCTGCGCGCAAGGGTGTGACGGGCCCATTCTCCACCACCGCTACCATGGATAGGAGGAGGAGGAGGAGGAGGAGGACGGGGAGGAGGAGGAGGGGAGGAGGAGGAGGAGGAGGAGGGAGGGAGGGAGGGAGGGAGGGAGGGAGGAAGGAGGGAGGATGAGGAGGGAGGGAGGGAGGGAGGGAGGGAGGGAAGGAAGGAAGGAGGAGGAGGGAGGAGGGAGGGAGGGAGGGAGGAGGGAAGGAAGAGGAGGAGGAGGAGGAGGAGGAGGAGGAGGAGGAGGAGGAGGGAGGAGGAGGGCGGAGGAGGAGGAGGAGGAGGAGGAGGAGGAGGAGGAGGAGGCGGAGGAGGAGGGGGATGAGGAGGAAGAGGGGGGAGGAGGGAGGATGAGGATGAGGATGAGGAGGAGGAGGAGGAGGAGGACGAGGAGGAGGACCGCCTGATCCTCCCTACTCCCCCGTCCCACACGTGGTGGCCGACCCTCCGCGAGAGCCGCTGCCTCTTGTGGTGCCGGCCCCACGGGGGTCCCCCTGGCACCGGCGTGGCCGGCGAGTACGGAACGCCATCGTTTGCCTTATGTGTGGCGCGCCCCTCTACAGGAGGGGAAAACACACAGGCACATGGTAAGTGGGGACACGGACCCCCCAAAAATATAGGAAAATATTGGGAATCCTGTTGTTTGTGTCTATTTATTTGTGTGTCCCAGGGCCCCTTCAGGAGGAATAGTCAAAGGATAGTCAAACAAAAAGTCTGGGGACGATTTTGCTACCATTTTTGGACTATGTTTGAATATTCTTTGCTATGTTTTGGTCTTTCGCCCAAACATCTGCCTGCAGGGGGACGTGCCCGACGTGAACCGAGCGCCATCTCGTGCCCAGGGTCACGCTTGCGTGCAGCCGAATCCCGACCTGGCCGCTGTGTGCGCGGAGTGCAGCCATGTCCAGATCATCTCGGGTCGCGCGACTGGAGGGGGAGACGGCTCTTCGAGGATCGGCGTCGCGACGGGTCCCGCTTCCATGGGAAATCGCGGATTTCTACCAGCCGCATTTTGGGGAGGGCACCTCCCCCGACCCGTGGATCCGGCGGGCGCGCGCCAAATCCATGGATCGCTAATCCATGTTTGCGCGCCCCCGATCTGGGGAGTCTCGGGAGGTTCTCGCCGCCACGGATGGACGCAGCTCGAGAAGCCAGCCAGGACGGACCTTGGGATGTCTCCAGGGATCGGTTTTGAACGTATTCCGTACATTCTGGTCGAAAGGGGAGGGGGATTAGGGCGAGGATGAATCTGTTCCAGAGCGTTCTGGAACGCCCTGAGAGCGCTCCGGAAACGCTCTGAGGTGGCCGCGGCGCCCGAGACGCTCTCCGGAGCCGCCGGATCTCAGAAGTTAGATTTTTCTTCACCCGAATTCGTCCTCGTCTCAGGTCAGGAGGGGAAAAACACATACAGTAATCGTCGATCCCCAGGAATACATATATATATATATATATATATATATATATATACACAAGACTGCAGTGGCGCTTCGCGCCATGCACCTTGGTCCTTGAAGATTGGTATGCAGGCGGAAATGGCAGGAAGGTCAAGCGGACAATTTAGCGATAATTTCTTGCTGCTTTTTCTGGCATCGCCATTCTAGTAATGTTGTTCGTTATCCTTCCTCCATGCCTGCTGTTCCTCATTCTCGCCATACCCTGGGCATTCTCCTCATCCTCCTCAGCTCTTTTTGTGGAGGCTCCTCCTTGGAGAGCTTCTGGAGGCCTCACCAAAGTTCTCACGCTTTCTCAAAGCCTTCTGGAGGCCTCCTGGGCGTGTTCTGGGGGCCTTTGGGGCTTCCTAAAGCCAACCTGCCTCTAACCGCGGTCTCCCTGAACGCCCCGGTCACGATTTTGAATGCTTCGGAGGGTGTCTTGGGGCCATCTTGGGCCGCCATGGGGCTCTCTTAGGGCCATTTTGGACCCCTGTTGAGCCGTTTTGGGGTTCTCTTGGACTGCCTGGAAACCCTTTCGCATGGTTGTGGGGCGATTTTGGAGCCTCCCAGGGGACTTCGGACGCCCAGAAGACCGCTGTCTTGGAGCGTCGGGAAGCCGAAAAGAAGAGAACCCCAAATTCAACAAAAACCTACATGAAATCAATTATTTTTCCCTCTTGGGGCCTTCTTGGGGGTGCTCTTGGAGGCCTCTTGGTACGTTTTGGAGCGATCTTTCGAGGTATGACGGCTTCTTGGAGCGCTCTTGTGCTGTCTTGGGGTTCTTTGGGATGTCTCCGATGACCCCCCCCTGATCGCCCTAGGTGTGCTGCGAAGGCTTGGCAAAACGCCCTGCGAGGCCCTGGGGGCCGCTTCGAGGCCCGTCCGAAGGGTCCCAAAGCCCCAGATCCCGGGAGTCCGGTTTTGGGGGGGGGGGGGGGGACGGGTTTACCCCCCGCCCGGGCTTGTAAAAATATGGGAAGAGGAATATATGGGAACATATGGGAATTGGGCGGGAAGACAAAGACCCGGAACACATGGGAAACTATGGGGAAAGTCATTTTTTTCGTGTGCGCTTATTTGTGTGTCCTTGGGCCCCTTGATCAGGACTGGGAAGGGGGGGGGAGCCATGTGCCGCGCGGGGCCGTGGCCGCTCCCGGTGCTCTGGAGGCGCAGAGGGGGGCGGCCGCGCGTGGAGCCGGCGGCCTGCCCGTCGGTCTGCCCGTGGCCCCGCATCCCTGGCGGGCGCGTGGGCAGACCTTGGGTCGAGGAGCTTCAGAGCCCCGAGTCATCATGGGGTAGCTCGGGTCAGGGCTAACTCGGGTTCGTTTTTCGGGAATCCAAACCCGAGTTACCCCGGGCCCGAGTTACCCCGGATAATTCGGGCGCCCAAGAGCCCCACATCATCAGGGGTAACTCGGGTCAGGGCTAACTCGGGTTCCTTTTTCGGGAATCCAAACCCGAGTTACCCCGGACCCGAGTTACCCCGGATAACTCGGGCGCCCAAGAGCTCAGCTCACACGCCCACAGTCAGTGGAGGAAGATGTACCCATACCTCCACCCTTCCCTCGTTCTCCTCTCTTGGGGCCTCCTGGGCGGCCCTTGTAGCCACCGCTGGATTCGCCTCGAAATCCCTGGCGGACGCGTGGGCAGACTTAGATTTAAGTCGGGCCCGTCCCTCTACAGGGGGAGTAACCAAAAACAGTCAACAAAACATAGTCTGGGGGCTATTTTGTTTAGTATTTGCTTGACCATCTTTGACTATTTTTGGGGTACCTTTTATGTTTCGTCAAGAATCCCCCTGTAGGGGGACACGCTCGACTTAAACTTAGATCGAAACGTTTAGCTTGAGTGTGAGCGCGCACACGGGCTCCAAGGGTAGCTCCAAGACGGCCGATGAGGCCCCACAGAGGGCCCCCAGTCGGCCCAGGAGGACTCCAAGATCGCCCGAGAGCCTCCCCCACAGGGCCCCCTCGCAGGCAAAGCCGCCGCGGAAGAATCCGCTGCACCCTTCTCCGCGCACGGGTTGGACATGATCGCGACATGTCAGAAATCTACGTGCACCAGCGCCCACCAAACCACCCCAACCCAACCCGAAGGCCCCGATTTGCCTTCCACTGCCAGTGTGGGGGGGTCGGGGAGCATTGACAAAATCACGTGTGGAACCCGTGCCCCTCCCAACCCGAAGTTCGGGTCTTCGGGTTAGGCTGGGATGGCCTTGTAGGTAAGTCAGTGCATCAGAGCTCGTTTCGATTCATCCGATTCGATTCGATTCGATTTCGACGGTTTCCGTTTCCGATTCGATTCGATTTCGGATTCCGATTTGGGATCCGACTTCTCAATGGAGGCCTACCAGCCTGCCGATTTCTGCCGATTCGACTCTTCCCGACTCGGCCGCCGATTTCCATCGATGCGACTCGTGTCGATGGCCGAGCCGACTCGTCGATTCGACTCCAGGCAGCCCTGCGCGGTGCAACAGTTCAGCGCGTGCAGCGGATTCGCCGACCCCCCCCCTTTCCCCTCCTTTCCTACGGAAGGCTCGTGTCGTGCCGACGCGGCGACGACCCCGCCGCGGGCGTTCGAGGTGGAAGGCTGCCAGTGGCCCAGACCCGATACATATGAAACGATTCAGGAGGGGACACAACATACAGACACAATTAACCGTCGACTCCCAGGGAAATATGGGAAAATATGGGAAGGGGGGGGGAAGACATAACATCAGAAAATATGGGAAAATATGGGGGATCCTGTTATTTGTGTGTATTTATTTGTGTGTCCCAGGGCCCCTGCAACGATCTGGCGATCGGAACACCGTGTCACAGTCCGAAGTTGCCGCATCCCCCCCTTTCGTCCGCCCTGATGATCACGCGCAACTCGCGGAGGGAGGACATCGAGACCTTCCTGGCCGCGAAGGGCGTGTCTGTTCAGCGCGTGCGCTGCATCAAGAGGGAGGCTTTGAGAAACAAGGCAGATGCCATCACGGAAGAGATGGCCGCGCTGGACCCGTCCTCCGTAGGGGTGTTCGTGGACGACGACATCCGCGAGCTCACGGACCCGTTGCTGAAGCCGCTGGTGGAGGCGGGACGCCTGAAGAGATTGCTGTTTGTTCGGGCTGGCGGCAAGGAGTGAGTGAGTGAGCCTGCTTTCGCGCCCTCTCCTGCAGGCTCCCTAGTGTCAGCGCGCATCCGTGCCTCGATGGCAGCCCATCCGCCACCATCAGCAGATCCCTCTATTTATACATACATGTGTGTATGGATATGTTTATGGAAGTGCACGTGTATCGGTATACGCATACTCCTATATATATGTGCATGTGTGTATATGTAGGTGTTCCCATATGTGCTAACCACCGTGTTTGCAAGCGCATGTGTATACGATTATGCATATGTATACGTGCGTGCGAAGGTGTATGTACACGTATATGGATACGTATATGCCGATGTGCATGTATATGTTTATGTATGTATGTATGTTTGTGCATACGTATATGTCTACGAATGATAGCCGCACCTGCAGATGCGTACATAACCGTATGCACACACACACATGTCTTTGTACGTACACGTGTATACATGTATAGGTGTGTGTATATGTACATGTATGCGGCTGCGTACATGTATATGCACATGACTATGTATACGTGCTTGCACACGCTTATGACTATAGGTGTGCATGCGTACGTGTTTAGTTATTCATTTGTAGAGCATGCGTACATGTATATGCATGTGTACATGCATTGTTATGTGTATAATATTGTGCATATGTATAGGTATACGTTCCTATGCACGTGTACTGGTATGCGTATGTGTTTGGGTGTGCGTATGCAGATGTCTATGTATATGTATACGCCGGAGGAGGAGGAAGAGCAGACGCAGGCGCAGGAGCAGGAGCAGGAGGAGTCGCCGGCAAACGGGATGGGGAGACATTGGAGAAACCACCCCCCGATCCTCCCTCGATACCTCTGTACCCCTCCCCCATCCCCCTTTCCCGAGGTGACACCCTGCCGCCCGCCCCCCCCCCATCTCCAGGGAGAGGATGGGGGTGCGCTCTCCTGTACCTCCACCCCTATTCTTCCTCCCTCCACACGCTTGTCCTTCCTCTACCCTTACTCCTTCTCCGAGTTGAAGCCCTGCCTCGTCCCCTCAGACCAGAGAGGGGGGTGGCACTCCCCCATTCCAGCCTCCATTCTCCACCCCGCGCTTCCGATCCTCCCCGAGGTGTGGGCCCGCACTTCCTCCTTCCCGGCCCCCAGGCCCCGAGCGAGAGGAAGGGGGGAGCACTCGCCCACCCCACCCCTTCGGGGATCATCCGTCAAGCCTGGGACGATACAGAGAAGGTTCGCATTGCCCCTGCGCAGGGCTGACACGCACACATCGAGAAGTGTATGCAAGCTTTACTCGCCCACCCCGCCCCGTCTCCTTCACCCTCTCAGCCCCCTTCTTCCCGTGGCGAGGCGCTGCCCCCACCCACCCCGCCTTGGCCCGGGGGGAGGGGGGGGGGAGGTGCCTACACCCGCCCTGCTCAGCGCCACCCGGGTGGAGAGTTGCTTTGCCCCCCCTCGCCCGCTTCCCTGGGGGAGAGGGCGAAAACGGCGGGGGAGGAGGGGGAAACAGGACGAGGAGATGCCAGACCATCGAGAGCCACGCCCCCCCCCCAGCGAAAACAGTGAAGGCCAGGACACGTGCTACGGCGCGAAGTCCTTCGACAGAGCAGAGTGCTACGGCGCGAAGTCCTTCGACAGTCCTTATGAAAGGGCTCCCACAGCTGCTGCTGAGACGATACGGTATGGGGAGCAAGCTGAGGGCTCGCACCAGTCCGATAGTCGAATGCAACACTCGGTCGCACGACGCAAGACAAGGTTCCTCCAGATTGCGAAAGTGGCGGGGACGGGCACGAGGAGACGGCGGAGGAGGAGGAGGACGAGGAGATGAGGCAGGACGACACAGCCGAGAGAAGACGCGAGGACCCGGGCCCAGCATCGTCCTGTGAATCGCCCGCAGTAGGTCGATGTCTGCTCGGGCAGCCGGAGGAACCAGAGCTGATCGAAGCAGCACATCGGCACGGCCGAGGTCATCATCTGCGCGTGGGAACCTACTTGCAACGGTGTCTCGCGGAGACGTAGCGGATCTCGAAGCGTGGGCTAGGGCCAGTGTTCTGTGCCCAAGACAGGTGTAGATGTGCGCCGTGAGCAACCCGAGCAGTTCAGAATCCGTGCGATAACGACGAACTCGAAGAATTGCGTAGACGCGCCGGCTGGCGTGGGACACGCATTCGTTGATGGCGTCGTGCGCCAAAAGTTCGGAGTCGAGTTGCGCGACTAGGACCTTGAAGTTCCCACCCCCTGGCTCGGAGTGTGAGACTATGCGTCGGCTCTTCTAGCTGCCATCAAGTTGGACGCGGCTAGCGCGTGCCCGTTCTTGGAGCAAGGTCTGGCAAGCAGCTGTTCGATCGAAAACCGCAGCGTGTCTTACAGCGGCTTTGGCCTCTTTTCAAGCATTGGGATTATGTATATCCGTAAGGGCTTCGCCCCCTTCCGCGGGACCCCTCTCTCGGATGATGGGCAATGCAAGATCGAAATCATGAGGGCTTGGCGCTGCCGTGAAGCAGCGTCGGGATTTCACGCGAAAACGATGCGTAATCGGCAAGACAAATTGAGATTCTGATGATATTGTTGAATTCGGTGTTGCATTTCGAGCTTGCTCGCGTATGCTGTGCAAAAAGCTTTTCTACGAAGTATTGAGATGTTACGAAACCCATGTGTTTTTGGACCCTGACCCCGCCGATCTGCATGAGGAGTGCCACCGGATTTCAGAACGGTGGCAAATCTTGTAGGTTTTTTGACCCTGACCCCGCCGATCTGCGTAAGGGGGGCAACCGAATTTTTAGACATGTGGCAAATCCCATTGGTTTTTCGACCCTGACCCCGCCGATCTGGGTGAGGGGTGCCACCGGATTTTAGAAATGTGGCAAATCCCATAAGTTTTTTGGACCCTGACCCGGCCGATCTGCGTGAGGGGTGCCACCGGATTTTAGAAGATGGCAAATCCCATTAGTTTTTTGATTCTGACCCCGTTGATCTGCCTAAGGGGTGCCACCGGATTTTAGAAGTGTGGCAAATCCCATTGGTTTTTGGACCCGACCCCGCCGATTTGCGTGAGAGGTGCTACCGAATTTGAGGAATCTGGCAAATCCGATGGGTTTTCCGACCCTGACCCCGCCGATCTGCGTGAGGGGTGCTACCGATTTCGAAACATGTGGCAAATCCTATGGGTTTTTCGACCCTGACCTTGGCGATCTGCATGAGGAGTGCTGCCGAATTTGCGAAGTGTGGCAAATCCCATTGGTTTTCCGACCCTGACCCCGCCGATCTGCGTCTGGGGTGCCACCGAGTTTTAGGAATGTGACAAATCCAATGGATTTTTCGACCCTGACCCCGCCGATCTGAGTCAGGGGTGCCACTGAATTTGAGAATATGGCAAATCCCATTGTTTTTTCTACTCTGACCCCGCCAATCTGCGTGAGGGGTGTTACCGAATTTGAGAAGTGTGGTAAATCCCATTTTTGGACCCGACCCCGCCGATCTGCGTGACAGGTGCTACCTTTGAGACATCTGGCAAATCGCATGGGTTTTCCGACCCTGACCCAGCCGATTTGTATGAGGGGTGCTACCGAATTTGAAACATGTGGCAAGTCCAATTTGTTGTGGACCCTGACCCCGGCGATCTGCGTGAGGGGTGCCCAGCATTTTTAGAAATGTGGCAAATCTCATGTTTTGTTGGACCCTGACCCCGCCGATCTGCGTGAGGGGTGTCAATTTCGACTCCCCCCGAAATTCTGAGACCCCTCCCGGGAGGTGCTAACCAGGGTCCTTTTCGGCTTCCCCCCTCGCGCGGTCCACAACCAGGAGCAGTGATCAACAATATTCAGAACTGTAACTGTGGAAACTGGAACTGGCGCAGGGAACAGCAAACCCTGAGCCTACAGCCTGGTGGCCCCACAAGGGGGCTGGCTGATATACAAGTACACATACGCATATGTAGTTTAAGCATACTTGTACATCATATCCATCTACCCATGTGTATACACATTGCTTCACGAGAACAGCGGCCCGAATTGCCAGACACGAGTGGGCGAATAATACCAGCCAACTTTGGAGGGCCCAGAACTGTGCCCTGGTACACCATGCTGCCCACCCTGGGGGCACGACCAAGCACAATGACCTGGGCAGTTCGTGGAGCATCGCCAACCCACACAGGCGCTGTGTTGCATGCAAGCGCTGTCGTGAACGCAGAGAATGTGTGTGGTGTACACTCGCGATTGTTGTGCCGGTGCTGTGGGCGCGGCGCGCCTTCGGGGTGCACGCCGCGGCCGCCGTTACCGCCCCCCCCCAAACCCGCCAGCCCCCCCCGTAGCACGCGTTGCCTCAAATGGAGGAACCATAGCAGAATGTCAGTATTCGGGTTGGGATCAGATCCAGGCTGGTTGCGCTGTCAGCGCGAACTGTCGTTCGATGGTGTTAATCTTGCGCGCACGAAGAACAAACGCTGGAGAAGGAGAAGAAGGGGCCAAGGGAGCAACATAAACCAACATACGTAGCCAAATTCAGCATTTGCAAATGTCCGTGAGGCTGTCACACTGTCATCAAATATTGACGAGTTTGTTTTTGGAAGTTCTCTTCCCGTGTGATGGTACAGGGGAATTCCATTGGGGAAAATTGGGACGACTTAGCAGTTTTGGAGCAATCCCTGTGAAGGATGCCACTGAAACAAACGGGATCGACTTAGCAGGACCGAATGTAAGCCAGCTTAGTCCCCCTCCCATTTTTCATCCTCCCTCGTCAATGAAAGGGTATATTGAAGAAAAGGGAGAAGGAGGTGGAGTAGGGGGAGTTTGAGGAGGAGGGGGGAGGAGGAGGGAGGAGAAAGGAGGGCAAGAAGGATGAGGAGGAGGAGGACGAGGAGGAGGAGGAGGATAAGGGAGGAGGGAGGAGGGAGGAGAGGGCAGGAGGAGGGAGAGGGTGGTGGGGACGGTGTCATGGACATTGTTCCACTGCCGCAGCATGGGCCCAGCCTCTACCTCTTCGTGCGCGAGGCCCGAGCGGAGCCCGCGGGGGCACCGAGCCGAGGGAGGGGAAGTCGAGGACTCGGGAAGAGCTTCGCCCGGTGCGCTCGCCCGCTGGGAGGAGGCTGGGCGGGGGCAGCGGGCAGAGGAGCCCCCGGCTCGAGGCCAGGCCTGGGCTGACGGGCCCGTGGTCCACCGCCACCACCAGAAGCAGGAGGGGGAGGGGGGGCCCTCCTCCTCTTCCTCCTCGTCTGGCCAGGCTGAGCAGTTTCGAGGCCTCACAGCGCAGCTCCAGGAGGCGTCACCTCGAACTCGGCCCCAAGGCTCGATCGATCCTCCTATTCTTGCTCCACCTCCTTCCCCCCTCCAACTCGTGGTGGTGGTGGTGGTGGACAACAGGCCCATCGTGGATCGTGGGGGGAGCTCGAGAGCGGAGCAGGCCTTTGGGCCACCCCACGAGGAGAGCGCGCGAGTGGCCCTGCCCCTCACTGGACGCCCGGGTCTGGGGCACCTCGGGACGTGGGCGGGCTAGAGTGTGGAGGGGCTGGGACGCGGGCGTCCCGTAGAGAGTCATGCATACCTCCTCCTCTCTCTCCTCCTCCTCCTCCTCCTCCTCCCCCCCCCCTCCTCCTCCTTCTCCTCCTCCTCCTCCTCCTCCCCCTCCTCCTCCCCTTTCTCATCCTCCTCCTCCGCGACGAAGGAGGGAGGAGGGAGGAGAGTGGTGGGATAGGGGGGGAGGGGGGAGGGGGGATAGGGGAGGGGGGGAGGAGGGAGGAGGGAGGAGGGAGGAGGGAGGAGTTATGTATGCACATGTGTGTGCAATATGCTAGCCAGCGTGAACCCTATACAGCAATTTGTTACACCCTGGACGTGCAATCCTTGTGGACGAGCCAAGCGGTGTGAGTTATGTGGTGCACGCTATGCGGTGCAGCCTGCGTGGTGCAAGTTGTGATCCAAGCTATGTGGTGCAAGTTGTGTGGTGGTGTGAGCCATGTGGTGCAAGCTGGGTGGTGCAGTATCTGTGCGGTGCAATATCTGTGCGGTGCAATCTGTGTGGTGCATGCCGTGTGGCGCAAACTGCACGTGGTGACTTCACGTTGTGGAGTCTGCGTGGGGCAAGCTGTGCAGTGCAAGCCGTGCGCTGCAAGCCGTGTGGTGCAGTCTGTGTGGCGTGAGCCGTGCGGTGTAAGCCCCACGGTGCCGCGGCGGACGCGAGCGGGGCCGCCGCGCCCGCCGACGAGCCTTTTTCGTTTGGAAGACTTGGGCGGCGCCGGACGGGAACGGGGCCGCCGCGCCCGCAGACGGGCCCAGTCCCCTGGAAGGCAAGTGAGGACCCCAAATCGCAATAATGGTTTGGGGAACATGTGTACATACATGTATAGATATACATATATGTATAGAGAGAGAAAGACATAGAAAGAGAAATAGAGAGAGAGAGAGGGAGAGAGAAAAGAGAGAAAGAAAGAGAGAGAGAGAGAGAGAAAGAGAGAAAGAGCGGTCGTAGCTGCCAGGGCCAACACGACATGTGGAAGTGGCCCGGATCTTGGCGCGCTCGCAGACGGCCAGCCGTGCACAGCGGTGAGCTGTTACAGTGTACACGCGGTTCAGATCTTTGGAAGCTAGCGGATCGGACGCTGCCTTGCGATCAAACATGCGGTCAATGCACTGGAGAGGCCCCGAACAGGCGTAAAGTTGCTGTCATCTGGAAAATGATTGGGACCTCGCCTGAGTACTGCGGCGTTTTTCACCGAGGGCGAGCCCTAGCCAGCCGCTCTGTGATCGGTTTCGACTCGGCAGCTGGCAGCGTCGCCAGTACAGCCGGCACGAGGGCCTCTTATGTTCTTCGCCGTCGCCCCCCCCTCCCCCAAACCTTAGGACGTGTTTTTGTTCTTGGTATCTCCATGGGACCCTTGGCCTTCAGCGAAGAGGCTCGTCTACTTGACCCACGTTCTTGTGATCCGTGGCCCAACTCGTGCTCGTAGCAGCCGGCGGCAGCAGCACGCTCGACCTGGGGAAGCGCGTCCAGGATGTTGGTCACGGAGGTGGGCTCCGCCGTCGAGGGCACCTGCACCTCCGCGCGTCCCCGCACCCGCGCGGGGAGAGCTCGTCCGGGCCGGTGGGCACGGCGGAGCAGCCCAGTCCCACGGAGGGGCGCAAGGCCCCCGCGGTAAAGCGGAGCTGGACGACCTCTTCGGAGTCGTTGGACCTCTCGCCCGGGGGGGCCTCTCGAAGCTGGAGGGCGCCGGGTCGCCCGGCGCGCTCGGCGCCTGCGCGCCGTGCCTGCTGCAGCAGCCCGCGCGGAGAGTGCGGCATCGCGCGTCTGCGCGCGCCGCGTGGTGAGCCAAGGCGCCGCGCAGCCCTGCGCCCCATCGGCGGACGACCCCAGAGGTCCCGGCGCCGCGGCATAGGGCGCCAGAGGCGTCTCGTCGCGGCCAGCCTCGCTGGGCCAGCGCGCGTGAGGCTCCGCTGGAATCCGTGCACCGCGCACCGAGCGACAGCGCCCCGCGTCTGCGTCGACGGGGGCGGTGCGTCTGCGTCGAGTCTCGGACGCCCAGGTGTGTACGAGCTGCTCGCCGCCTGAGCCTCGAGGAGGGGGAGGGGAGGGAGGAGGAGGGAGGAGAGGGCAGGAGGAGGGAGGAGGGAGGAGGGAGGGGGAGGGCAGGAGGAGGGAGGAGGGAGGAGGGAGGGCCCGTCTCCGTGGCTCCAGCCTGCCCCGCGCCCCCGCGCGAGGCGAGGGGCGCCCGCCGACGCAGCCACGACGGCGCCAGCGACGTCTCAGGCCCGGCGGGTGGGGGGGCGCCGTGCCGAACCGGGGAGGAGCTGCCCGCTCCATGTCGGCAGACGGCTCACACGTCTCGTGGCCCCACAGGGAGCCTGGCAGGGTCTCGCACGTTGCCTGGCCCCACATGGGGGCCCCCTCTGAGAGCCCCAGTGGCAGGGTTTACATGGGTAGTCGTCCTATTTTGGCAGTTTCCTCAAACGTTTCGTGACCCCACAGGGGCTCCACCGAGTGCCCAGTGGCAGGGTTCACATGGGTACCCTGTCCACTTCGGCAGACCCTTCACACGTTTCGTGGCCCGAAAGGGAGCTCCACCGAGGGACATTGCGGAACCCAGTAACGAGTTCTTGAGCATTGAGCGGTCATGTTGGTCGTTTCCATGTCCGTAGAATGGGTTGGATTTCTCGCCCGGATATTCCTCTTCTTATATTTTTAGAAGCCTGGGCGGGGGGACCCCCCCCCCCAAAACTGGACCCCCAGGATCTGTGGCTTTGGGACCCTTCGGACGGGCCTCGAAGCGGCCCTCCGGGCCTCGCAGGGCGTTTTGCCAAGCCTTCGCAGCACACCTAGGGCGATCAGGGGGGTCATCGGAGACGTCTTGGAGAGCCCTAAGACAGCACAAGAGCGCTCCAAGAAGCCGTCATACCCCGAAAGATCGCTCCAAAACGTACCAAGAGGCCTCCAAGAGCACCCCCAAGAAGGCCCCAAGAGGGACAAATCATTGATTTAATGTAGGTTTTTGGTGAAATTGGGGTTCTCCTCTTTTCGGCTTCCCGACGCTCCAAGACAGCGGTCTTCTGGGCGTCCGAAGTCGCCTGGGAGGCTGCAACATCGCCCCACAGCCATCCGAAAGGGCTTCCAGGC